GGACTGAGTTGATCAAGGTTCAAGCGTAAAACGTGAATATATCACAAACGGAACGCCCTGACTCGCCAATTTCTCGGTTCTGTTGGCGGTACCGGCGAAAGCCTTGCGGCAACGGACCCAGTATGGGATGAGACACTTGAATGGGAGTTTGAGGACAACGAGTCGGTATTTGTCAGGATGCTCATCAAGAGTGATGCGAGCTTCTCAAGCAACCCCATCCTGGCCGTCGCCGCGGTCCGCCTGTTATATCTTGACCCGCGAGGGCTGGATGGACGTTTGGTACGGATGTTGGATCTCAGAGGGTCACGAGGACGGCGTGCTCCTTGACTTGTCAAATTCGATATTCAGGATATATAGTAAGTAGGCTAGGTGAATACCTAGGGGAGGTCCTACATTCGGAGGAGAGAGTACGAACCCGGTGACGTCTCTGAGGGTTAGGTGGATATACGAAGTGGACGGCCATGCCAGGTCCGTAGTCGACTATGAAGAGATAAACAGGTTGAGAATACGGAGTTGTCTGGGCTTTATGCTCTCGAACCATGAAATTTGACATGTTCATCATTTCCCCTTGATTATCACATGCAATGCCAAGACAACGGCAAAGGTTTATTCCTCGGTTGTGGATCCAAAATTTACAACCATCGTCCATGAAAACCACAAACTGGTTGAGACTGTTTCCCCCCTCCTACTCCTGCTCCTTTGTACGCAAAACCTAAAACCTGGGCCATCCATATTCATCCCCACCGGTCATGTCTTCTTTACGGGTGCCATTTACGGCTGCCTCGGCCGTATTGACTTCCTCGGTCGGCGCCAGCATCATCTACCTCACAATGGTCCGCTCTCCGCCGAGCGGCCAACGTATGGCAGTCAAAACGGCCTCTACAGCTCTACTCTCTGCTCTGGTCGTTCTCCAAGGCGGTCCCCTGCTCTTGGCCGGGGCGCTGGCTTTGGGGTCTGTGGGCGATGCCTTCCTTGCCTGGGACGACGACGCCTCATTCCTCTACGGCCTTGCCAGCTTTTTGGTCGCCCACATTTTCTATATCGTTGTGTTTTTCGGGAGGGGCGTGGATCGAGCAGTGATGTTGAAAAGCTTGCTCGGAGGCTCGCGTGCCGTGGCTGCAGGACTCTTGTCATTGCTAGTCCCTGTCATGATTGCTTCGTTGATGCCGCGTATTGATACAGCACTCCGGCCACCAGTTGTTCTTTACTCAGTAACCATTTTTGTTATGGCCCTTACCGCTCTCGCATCGGAAAACGGGCGGGCCATTTCGGGCAGCCTCATGTTCTCAACCTCGGACGCCATTCTTGCGGCGGATCGGTTTCTGGTCCCCCCCACCTCACCGCACCGAGCCTGGATGCAGCATGCCGTCTGGGTCCTCTATTATTGTGGTCAGTTGTTGATCGCCTTGGGAGTCTTGGCTTCTCATCCGGTATCGTGGGGCAGTTAGGGTGGAGCCAGCGAGCGATAAAAGGGGGGATAAGGGAGCAAGGGGAAGGAAGGACATGCTCCAGAAGAGCCCGGGTTGATGAGATTTCTTGTACCTACATTCTTAGCCATCTATACGCCACCCAACCTTTAACCTAGGGTATTTGCAACCACTCAGGCTTTTAATGAATCTGGCCGCAATGACCTCGTCAGGCTGTTAAGGGCGGGGCCAAGCCGCCAATCCTGAAAGTACCTCCTGAATACTTATTGGGCGAAAAGACAATGGACCAGGCTACTGCTGGTGGGGGTGTGGGAGATTCCGTTCCACGTGTGCTGTGTTGTCTCTGTGGACCGTCCCATTTTCCCATTAGGGTCGTTGCTTTACAGATTTTCTCTTCGTTTCTCAGTTGCGTTCTCACCAAACGAGATCCAAAAGGCATTATTACGAAACAAGGGGACACTCATCTTTGATATCGACCCGAGGGGGTTGATAAAATATTGATCGCGAATTGTGAGAGCCTTGGCCAACGTTTCCGTTGCTGAGAATCCAACCACCAGGACAATGCTGACTTGTCAATAGGGATTGCATGTTCCGATGTATATTCTTCGAGATCATCTTTGCTGTGCGGCCGTGGGAAGTTCGCGAGATTCCGAGCGAAGATGTCGTAGTCGTCGTCAAGATCTTCTGTTGCTTCTTCCAAAGGTGGAGCCAATGATGGGATGAAATCTTGGTTCTTGAAGTGATCCCATAATGTTTTGACAGCTTGGACAGCCGGTCGCGCCCACTTCTTATCCCAATTGTGTTTGAGATACCCAATTCGCCGAGAAGGGTGCAGAATACGACCGCTGCGTAATATGGCGAGTCCTCGGTCTTCAGGTAGTATTTGTCGAAGGCTGCCCAGCTCCCTTGAACCCGAGGAGAAAATAAAGTGTTCGCTTTGAAAGTGTCAAGACTCTTCTTGAAGTGCTGAACCAGAATATCCATGGTGAAAAGAACTCGGTCAATGGTTGCAAGATCTCCTTCCGTCTCCTTGGTAGCGCGGTAGAATGGCTTCAAGAATGAGAGGACTGATCGAAGGGTTTCTTAGTCTTGTGGGGATAAGAAGTCGTTCTGGAGATCATCGTACTAGATTTTTGAGTAAGAGTCAATAGCTGACTCCTTCTCAATGGCGGCCTTGAGCATTTCGTACCAGCTATTCCATCTGGTGCTATTGTCGAGGGGGATCATTGCGAGTGGCGAGTTCCATAAACTGCCGAGTTCGACGAGGGGAACCACGGGTGTGAACGACAATGTTGTGAAGCTTGCCAAGAGGGCCAAAGTTTCGAAGGGAAATCTTTCTCTTCTCTAGGGGATCCTCTTCTTCATCCTCTTCCTCCATTCCTTCTTTCAGTTCTTGGAAGAGAAAGGCTTGAACTGCCAAGTTGATAACATGGCCATTGCACCGAATCCGATTAGCTGATGCCACCCATGTTGACCCTCCCTCCTCAAGAATGGAGCCAAGTAATCGACAAAGCTTGTCGTTTGAGGAGGCATTATCGCCGATTATTGCGCCGAGTTTTTGATAAATCCCATAATCTTTGAGAACCGAAAAGAGAGCTTTGCATTGAGAGTCGGCGTGATGTGAAGAAATCGAAGGAAGTCCGATCAATGCCTTGGAAAGCCTCTCCGTTTCGCAATCCACAAATTGAGCACAAATCCCAAGGAACAGCTTCCTATTTGGAGAAGTCCAGACGTCGAGAGAGATATGGATCAGCGCTGCTCTCAGATCAGTCAGATCAGTCAGACCCTCCTGATCTGAACTGATTGATTCCCTCGGCCCTTGAACTGGACTGAACTGACATACAAATGCAACTATTCGTAACCCTGCTGCCCCCCAATCGATCCCCAACCCGGCCTGCTGCCCATCATGACTCCTATGATGACGATATCGCCGTTCCTAAGCTAGTTCTTCAGCATCTGAAGCATCTCGATAGTCTCCCACTTCATTGCATGCCTCTGGGAGCTCAGAGTAAGCTTGGCAATGCTAAAGGACCTCTCGCAGTCAGCTGCCATGGCCGGAATAGCGAGAACGTCAAGGGCCATCTGAGACAGCTTTGGGAACTGAGCCTTATTACTGATCCACAATTCAACCGGATCGACGTTGCCCCCAACCTTCATGTTGTAGTACCGGTCAATCTCGTCCTCGTTACCCTCTTCATCGGAACTGCTTCGCGATGGTGCGCAGTCGAGATCGAGGGTGGGGGAGGAAGACTGCTGCAAAGTTGTTGGCATCGTCTGTAACAGAGGCTGCGTAGCTGCTCTGTGCAGCAGTCGACATTGCGAGGTTGGGTTAACTTTAACTGGATCAGCCTCAGTGGTCGTCACACGCACACACACGCGCGTACAAACAGTGGACAGAATGGAATTGAATGGAATTTATGTCGCCCGGAGGCACTGGGCCTATAGGGCCTTAGCACGCTAACTACATCCGGATCAAATCCGTTTGCCTTTGACTCGTACAAGCCCCCTACTTCTTCCCTCTTTCTCGCTGCACCATTTACCTCTTGCCTTGGTTGTTGTTAGCAGATCAGCTTGGAGGCTACTTTCTCCAAGTGTTCAGCGTCCTATCTTCAGCAGCTAAAGCGGGACCTGCTGGTTAAGGCTCGTGGTTGAGGCTCGTGGTGTTGAGTGTCGGCTTCTTCTGCTGTGACTGGTCTAGACTCTCCTCCTCATTCAGCTCCAGCCTTCCTGTTGCCATTGCTATTTGATCGTCGCCCGGACTGCCTTCATATCTGGTGACCAATGCCTTGTATCTGATGGCGCTTTCCCTCCCAGATAGAACGAGAGGCTTCCTCGTCTTGCCACTGTGCATTGCAGCATGTCTTCCCTCAGAGCTGTCCATCTCACGCATCGGAAAAGAAAGTGTTCCACTGATTCCCTCGCTTGTCCACAGGCACAAAGGTCTGACTCGACCGCCCCAATCCTGCTCAAAAAACCGTTCAGTCTCGCCATTCCGGTTCGGAGCTGCGCCAATACGCAGGCCTCCCTTCGCTTCAGCTTGTCATAGAGATGGCGCGTGTGCTTGCCTGGTAGTGCTGCGTCCATGGCCTTTGAGAACTTGCCCACGCTTACAGGTAGAACTCTTGTCGCCCGTTGTCTTTCCATTGCCAGCCTCATCGCGGTAGACTTGGCCTGGGGTATTTGGGAGTCGGGTGTGCGTCCTTGCTTCGACGCTCTCTGGGCTGCTGCCTTGGCATCTGACCCCAGTGCGAAGTCAATCTCCGCTGGTATCCACAGAAAGTTGACCGAGTTCCCTCTTTGTCGGTGCAGCCTGGCCAAGTCGTAGATTTGCCGTATGATGCTTTGGCCGGATTGCTGCCGCGGCTGTCCAACTGCTGCCAGCGCTGACTGGTTCCTCGTGATCACGGTGATGTGCCTGTGGCAGATGCTAGCCGGTAACTTCTCCAGGGCCATTGCGATGGCTGCTAGCTCTGCTGTATATGGGTTCTGCTCTTCCCTTGTCCCAAGAACAACAGCATAGTTTGTCACAGTCTCGCTAGTTCTGTTGAAGAGAATATCCCGTGCAAGGCCGCCCATGCCAACAATGCCCTTCTTTACGGATGAGCTGGTTGCGATCACGATTCCCGAAATTTTGTTGACCATCTCGGCCGCCTTCCCTCGATCGGCTTCGAGCGTCGGTCGTAGGCGAGGTGCCCAGGGCGGGACGGCGTATTCCTGGATTGTCTCCATCCGGTCAACTCGTACTCCTTCGGCCACACGGGCAATTTTCTGCAGCGGAGATACGAATCGTACGGTGTTCCGGACTTTCTTCATGGCAAGGGGATGCGTTCCGGGCAGCGTGTGGATGTTGATCCACAGACTGGCTGCCGCCTGGGCGTGTCGTTCTCGTACGGGGTAGATGCTCGCTTCAGCTTCCACCACGGCTGTTGCCGCGGTTCGAAAGGCTCCCGTGATGGCCAGGGCCCCGATTTTCTGCGCCCTGTTCAGCCAGCTCAGTGCCTTTTCCCCGCACGCATGCATCCAGACATTGGCAGCGTAGTCCATGACCGGGGCTACTGTCGCAACAAATAGCTGTCTCGCTGTCCGCGGGGAAAGTATCTTCAGCCTCTTCAGGGCCAGAGCGGCTGCGAGGCCCTTAGCTGCCGTCCTAGCAATGTGCTGCTTGTAGCGGAGTTCGCGATCCATCACGACACCTAGGATTTTCGCACTTTCCTTCGGTTTGACCACTTCGCCTTTGACCGAGAACGGTTGTTCTGAAAATCGCTCCATGTTCCTCGTGAAGTGTATGATGGCTGTCTTTTCGCCTTCAAACTGCGCACCGCTCCGTTTCTCCCAGTCAAGGGCTTTGTCGATGATAGCTTGGAATCCAAGCCTTGGATTCCAGTGCGGTTCGACTCCGCTGACGGGCCCGTTACCCAGGCAGTGTAGTCGTCCACGAAGGCAATTGCGCCTCCGTTCGCGTCGATCTTGTGCTGCACTAGGTCGGCGTTGAAGAAGAGGAACAACACTGGAGACAGCGGCGATCCTTGCGGAAGACCCGCTTGGGGCAGCTCTTGCCGTCCAGATGTGAACCCGTTTACGGCAATGGTCGCTGTGCGCTTGGAGCAGAAGGCGTCGATCCACTTGACCAGGGGTTCAGGTATCCCTCTTGCCTTGAGCCTCTGGAGAAGCCTGTCTTTGAAGACCCCATTGTATGCGCCCTTGACATCGAAGCTGATCAAACTGAGCACCTTCCTAGCTCTCCATGCTTTGTAGATGTGTTCCTGAAGCAGAAGGAGAGCCTGTTCGGTCGAGCGTCTCTTCCTGGCTCCGAAGTGGTTGGCGGGTAGAAGGCCGCAGGTCTCCACAGCATGGGATAAACGCTCCGCAATGACTGCCTCCAGTATCTTACCCAGCGTGGAGAGCAGCGAGATGGGTCTCCAGGACTTGGCTAGAGTGTATTCGCTCTTCCCTGGCTTCTTCAATGGGATGATCTTGGCATTCCTCCACTGGCTGGGGATGTCGCCGTCTCGAAGCGACGTCCGGAATAAATGGAGCACCCTGTCTTTGACCACTGGCCAGAGCTGTCTCCATACCATTGCCGGTAGACCGTCTTCCCCGGGCGCCTTCCATGGCTTAGCGGACAGGACCTTTTGTTCTATCTCCTCCATTGTTAGGTCTGGCATGTGTACCGGCGCCCGTTGAGGTCGTTGGCCCTCGTCTTCGATTCTCGCTGACAAAGGTGGGAAGAAGGCGGTGAGTAACTCCTGCGCTTGTTCTGCTTTACCCTCCGTGATGGAGCCATCGGGTCGGACGAGCGGGGGTATCTTATCGCCCATCGTGCCGCTGCCGGTTTGCAGATACTTCGTTGCTTGCCAGATGTTAGCGTCATCGGCCAGGAAGTCGTTCCAATGCGAACTCTTCTGTCTGCGGATGGCGTCGTGGTACTCTTTGGCTGCCATCCTGGCTCGTTGTTCGAGCTCTGGTGCTGTTTGCCCAATCCTACGTCGAGATCTCGCCTGGTTTCTCCAAAACGTGTATGTCTGGCGAAGCCGTGTCAGGTCCGTTGTCCACCACCGCTTGGCGTATGGTGAGGGTTTGGCTTTAGGTGTCAGGCCGTAGACCGCCTCGGTTACCGCTGCCATGAGCCTGTCCGTCTGCTGCTGGACATTGCCGTCCCAGGGGATGCGTTCGAGGTTTGCTGCCACCCTAGTCCTAATTTCCGCCCAGGGCGCGTTCTTGAAGAAGGAAACCTCGTCTCACTGGGACGGTCCTCCACCGAGGTGTCAAAAGCTGTCTCGATTGCTCTGTGGTCTGAGCCATGGTCGCAGGGGTGAATCGCGCATCTGAGTAGTTGGTCTTTTGTAAAAACACAGCCAATAGTACCAGGCAGATCGGACTCTCAAATGTCGCCTGACTGCCACGTCTTCGTGCCTCATAGAGAGAGGCAGCAGAGGGAGTGTTCGTCCATAGGGTTGATGATGCGGTCTCCCTCGCCTTGTCTCCGTGGTGAGACATCGTCCCTCTACCCCAAAGCTGGTCGTGGCGGTTGAAATCGCCCGCCAGGATGATATCCGTTCTCGTCCCTGTTCCGTTTCGAAACCTCCTAATCAGTCGGTCAATTTTCCCCTCATTGCATCTTCCAGTGCTTCGTCACTACCACCCTCCACATACACTGACACCATCAGCACTGCCCGATCTGGGAGCCGAATGCGTGCTGCGGTGAGGTCTGCCGACGGCACTGGAATTTGCTCGACCTCTATATCGCTTCGTACCCATAGCATGCTCCGAATTGGACCACGTGGTTTCTCGTCTTGTCGTTGGTATAAGCTTCGTCCAGTTGTGATGACTCATTGGGACCGTCGTCACCGAGCCTTCGATCAGCCTGGCATATGGTTCGGAGATGGCCAGCACTGCGAAGTCCTTGAGTCCCTCGTCGTTTAGCAGACTCTGCTGCACTTCTCTCCGTTTGCGGACGTTGAGCTGAAGGATCTTAAGCGTCTTGGGCCCCATTGTTCAACCAGCGTACCCGACAGTTCTTGCTAAATGACTCGTGTGGTCCTCTGCATAGCACGCACTTCAGGACCACGGACTGACACGTCTTGTGGTGGTGACCCTGTTCCGCACACCTTCCGCATCTTTGCGGCTTTTTGCAGGCGAAGGCCTTATGGCCGATCTCCTGGCATCTGTAGCACTGGATTGGGCCTTCCCGGGGCGCGAAAACGGTCGTGTAAGCGGATTCTCCGGCGAGATGGAAGTAACGCCCGTCTAGAAGTCGCCTTGCTTCGCTGCCCTTCGTCACGTAGACAACCATCGAGCCGTAGGCCTTGCTTGTATCCTTCCTGCTGAGCCAGGCAATCTTCGCAATGTTGACGTCGTTCTCTGTCCCTAGCGCCTCTGCGGCTCCCGGCAGGATGTTTCCGTCCGCATCGAGGACCGCTGTTCGGTTGGCATTGTCTACCCTCACCGGGTACAACTGGTCTCTCAATACCCGCACTCCAGGAACACTGATCTTCACTGCCGCTTCCTTGACGAGCTGGACCTCGCCTTCGTCCCTGCAAATTACTCTGACTCGGTCCGGGTTTCGGGCCTCCTTCACAACCGCAGCGCAACGCCAGTCTCCCATGCTTTCCTGTGCCCTGGCCTCTGTCTCGATTGCCTTTCTAATGTCCGCCACCTGGACGTTTCCCTTCTCTTTCTCCTCCACCCTAGATGTATCGATCGTACAGAACAACGTGTCGGTAAAGGATGAAGGCGTCGTGTTTCGCGAGGAGAGGGTGCGCACACCGCTTGGCTGGCTTGATGGTGGGGTGCGAGCGACTTCGGCGTATGACCCTCTTGCGCTTGGTTGGGACGAAGCCATGGCTACCGGGTGGCGTTGAAGGGTATCAATCTGATCCCGCGCTTGTCTCAGTTCTTCAGAAAGCTGGGTCCTGGTGTCTGCAAGTTGGGCGATGTAGTTCTTGAATCGCGTCGTGCTGCTTGCAAATCACCTCGCGTAGTTCGCCAATCGTGTTTCGCTGCTCGGTAATCATTCGGTACATTTCGTCTCGTTGTTCGTTGATCGCCTCCAGGAGCATCTGTATACCTGACTTCCCCGTCTCGATCCGGCTGTTGGCTCCATATAAAATCCCAGACGCGCGTGCTCCTCGCGTCGTAACCGCCCGCGTGGTCTCGCTCGCCGCTCTCCTCGACGTGGTAGCCACGTTCTCGAGCGATTGCATGGCTTCGCGAGCTTCCGCGCTCGGTTTCAACGCGCGGCTCGGTCGTCTCGGCGAAGGTGGTTGGCCGGCCACCTCGACCACGATTTGGGGCTGCGCCTCCGCCGCCATCTTGCAGTCCCTCGGCAGTGCCGCCCGACTTTCACAAAAGGTTAACCTACCGTAGAATTCTTTTTTCCTCCTGGGTTGAGTAGACTGTAATAGATCGTAGGTTTTTATTGAGCTTAAAGTCGCTGTAGATAGCGAGCTTGGTCTCGGCTAAATATCGCATTTCAGCCACACATGACACTCCAGGTGGGGAACGACGGCGGCGTCGGGGCGAACATCGAGAGCATCGATCCTCAGGAGCATTACAAAGCCTTCCTGGATGTCTGATACGTATGTATCTGAAATAGGGGAGAACAACGAGATTGGGTGAAAAAAGGAAGTGTCGCGATGGCTGCCGTGGAAGTAATTCCACTGCAGGCTGCACGCGATGCTTCCTTATCTAATCTAAATGCGGGGCACCCAAGTGCCCACCCAGGGGGTCCAAACCCTAACCCTGGGCCCTCCATTTTACTGTATCAGGATTCTTGTATCAATGTCCTATCCGCGGTCCGACATAGCGAAATCAAGGATATGAAGGGGCGAGCGCAGTTGACCCAAGCCAGGACGACAACACTGCTGCCCAGC